AATTATACTGTCTAAGATGATTCCCAATGGTTTACATCATATTTGATGTATATTTACATCAAATTTGGTGTAATCTCTCCAAAATTTACACAAACTTTGATGTAAAAGTTACACAAAATTTGGTGTAACCATTGAAGTTAACTCTTATACTAAATTTTACTTTAAATTTGTTTAATTAAAAATTATTTTATTACTAAAATAAATTAAAAATAATATTTCCCATTTGATCCTCATTATTTGAAATTTTAATAGTTGAAATAATATATTTTAAAATGCGAGATTAAAAAAGAAAGAAATTTTTTTAAATTACGTGTAATATTATTTTATTGGATAATATGTGATTGATAAGAAGGAAGAAAAATGAATTGTCATTTTAATGGAGCCAAAAAGTGGCTTTTAATGAAAAATGTCAATTTATTGTATCAATAATTATTCCAGTATTAATTTATTCTTAACTTCTATTTGTCAAATTTGTAACTTTCGAGTATGATTTTTAATTTATTGTATCAATAATTATTAATCTATTAGAATTTAAAAATAAATGTTAAATGAAAATAACCATAACATTAAAGAATTATAAATAAATTAATAGATATTAATTCTAAAAGAACAAAATGATATAGATGGAATAAAAAATTGTTACAAAAGGGAAGAGATGGTAAAATGGGAAATTTATAGAATTACTCTAATTTAACACTATTCATCACATTAAATAAATAAATAAAATACCCCAAAAGAAAAATGGAAAAATGAATCCTTCAGCCTTCTTGCAAGGGTAAACCCAAATAACGGTGAGATTCTCATTAAAGAAATCGAATATTTTTAAAAGTAGACGAGAAAATAACGAAAAACCATAATAAATCAGATTCTCTGTCTGGCCTTTGCAATTTCCCCTATAATCTCCGTCTTTACTTAGCTCACCGAAATCTTTGAATCTTCTCTCGATTGCGAGTTGTGATTTTCGCCTGTCAAGCGGGTGCGTAGGGGTTTTTATACTAATTTAACAGGTTCGTCCTTTTCTATAATATTTTGAATTGTAAGTACGGGTACATGCGTTTTTATTGTCTCAACTTTTAATCTTGGTTGTATTTTTTAGTTATCCCCTTTTATGATTATCATATATAATTTGTTGAATCTGTCTCTCATTTTTCGGATTTGATTTGTTTATTGTTTTATTATGAAATCCTCGTCATAAATTTGTCTGAATTCTTGCAGTTATCTAAATTTTGAAGTCTTTCAGTGAGCAAAAGTTGATAGTTGATGGAGGACTGGGGTAATGTTTCATTCTTTCTCTCTTTCTTCCTCGTCTTGGGCGCCATACTTTGTTTTTTCCCCTTACTCTATGACTTTAGATTCTTATAAACATACGTCAATGAATATATTAGTTTTTTTTTCCCTTTTACAAGAAATTGGCTATTAAATTCGGTCTATTTTCATAATTCATAAACGTGTATTTTGTTGCTTAATGAGTATGGGTGCAGTGGTATCAGATTTCTGGCTTTTGGTTGGCAATAAATAGAAGTCCTTCAGAGGTGTCTTTTGGTGTAATCAATGCGTTGTGGTACTTTTATATCTTCTGATTTGGAAAATGACTGAAGTCCCTTCTACCAAACTTTCATGGGTTTTGATTAGGAAAAACAAGATAAATCCCTTCTACGCACTCTGATCAATTTGGCGTCACATTGTGTATGAAAAACTAAATTAAGATGTTGTTAGGTTTGACAATGAAGCATGCTTTCAAATTTGCGTAGTCTACGTTATTCATTTTTGGTTTATTAAGGGTTTGTAATGATATTCATTCTCCTCATCAAATTTATCCAAAGTTCTTTAGGTAGACAAGTTTTTGAATGCCAACGTATTTGATAATTCAGAGGACGAGACAATTCCAGATCTTCTCAAAAAGGAGCAACTAAAGAGTAACTGGGATGATGAAGATGTGGATGATAATGATGTGAAAGAATCTTGGGAAGATGAAGATGAACCTGCACCGGTATATTTGCTGATAGTTTAACTTTTTCACTAAGCTGGCTTACATTAAAATTTCATTTAGAGAAAAATATGCAATTTTGTTCTAGATTATGAATGCTGTGTATTTCTTCACTCGTCTTTGATTATGATTAGTTTTTTTTGTCTTAGATATATGTTGCATGTTTAATTGGCAAAAAGAGGGTAAGGGTACATATATAAACTTGATTTCAGCATTGTGCTGCCCACATTTTGAATAATGCTCCTGACAGCATCTTACATTTTTTAATGGAAGTGTAAAGACGTCTTCTATTGACGGTACATGTATGATCTGATTCCTGTGGATTGTTCCATGAGAATTCCTGAAGAACGTATAGTCTTACTAATAACATTTTTATAGCTGACGATCTCTTAAATTAATATGCTACAAATTTAATGCACAGGCAGTTTGAAGACATATACTAGTAGTTATATTGATTCAAACTATGTAACATCTTTTTGAGTAATGCTCATGTGACAGGTGATGATCATCACTCTGAATGGATAGCCAGCTCTATTTATCTTTGTTGCATATATGCTGTTGTATGGTTCCCTAAAATTACCATTCAAATGATACGATTGATTTAATTTCTCTGACTTGTGGCTTGACTAATATGATAGAAGGGGCTTTTTCATCAGGATGGGCAGGTTTGGAACCCTATTTATATAATATATATAAAAAGGGGATTATGCTTCATGTTTGGCCTGGTCATGACATGTTTTTAAAAACTGGATTTTAGATTTAGTCTTCATATAGCCTGTTACTTTGTATGCATGCCATCCAAACTGGCTTTCTTGTCTCATTGCAGCAATTATACCATTACTCTGAATTGAGTTGTTAAATACTAATTTGATCTTTGAGCGCTCTGTTAGGACATTATTTTGACTACAAAAACCTTTTGTGGATCAAGTTCTCGCCCTTCATCCTTTTGTTGGGCTGACTTCAATTAACGGGAAAATCTCGAAAATGTTGAATTTTTTTCAAAATAGTCAATTGTCAGAGCAATGTTAGGTTTTTGGGTGGCTTAGCCCCCTTTTGGCCGTTGTTAAATTTAATTTCATTTTTTTCTCTCCTATTTTTAATCACGCAATCTTCAATAAAATAATATTATGTGTAAATCGAAAACTTTTTCTTATTTTTCAACCACCAATTCTTCAAAAAAATACTATTCTACCTATTTTAATTTTAAGGGGTGGGGGGGCTCAAGATGGTGTTGTAATGGATCAATTTCGATCAATTTCAGCAAGTTTTTAGCAACGGGCACTTTTGTTTATACTAGTTAAATGTGAATTCATTCATTTAGTATACATGAATAGTAATAATGAAATGCATTCTTGAATGGGAAATTATAATTAACTATCAATTAGAATTAATAACACTGAATATTAATTAAATGAACGTGAATATTAATTAATTGAGAATTAATAATAGAAAATTCGAAATCACACAGGTTAAATGAATTTGTCAAATATACACGTACATTGATAGTAGTTAAATGGTTAAATAAATTAAATACATATTGAAAAACGAAAAGTAAGGTATTATTGAAATAATTGAATTATAATAAGACTAAAATGGTCCCAAAAAATTATTCTCAGATATTTAATATATTATATTATATATTAGAGATTGTGTCCTTCAGCAGAAATGAAGTTGTCTTATCTAGGATTTTGAGGGTAATTTTCGTCTGCTGTTGAAATTTTCGGGTGAATTGGGGTGGCTTCGAATATAGCTAGTTTTGAGTTCTTGAAATGTATGAAATTTCTGTGTTGCTTATAAAGAGGCACGAAGGCCTTCTCTTGACCTTGTGGCTTGACAAGCTTAGCTGGCATCATTGGTTTCTGTTAGCTTCTGCATAGCTAATTCCGAGTTCTTCAATTCAAAGCATGGAGTTTCTCTGTATTGCTTCTAACAAGGTCTCACTTTTTATACACGACCTTCTCTAGCTCCTAGCCAGAGTCTTATGTTTAGACGATGCTCAGATACTAATTATTAGGATGTGGTCTTTATCCTTTCCTGGAAAAACTTCCAAAATATCTTTCTTCTAATTAATTACCCATTTTGATGGCAAAAATAGAAGTCCTCTTAAGTCTGTTGGTATAAAAATATTAAAATATATATATATACACACACACAAAAGAAAAGTAGTAACAGTTATTTCTTCTTTTTACCCCCTTTTTAAAACATTTTCTCTTACATTTTTAATTTAATATTTGGAGAAAGAACGCCTACTGAGGCTTCACAGGTAAAGCAGTATGTCTAAACAACGCTTAATGTACATGTAGCAACGTCCATTATTCAATCTCCACAGTTTCTTGGTGCAGTGTCTTTTGAGAATTACATGATTTCAAGTACTGGTATTATTGCTTTCAGATATTGTGCGTTGGAAGTCAATGATGCTGACGGGTGTCAACGTACAACTCGCTGATGCATGAAGATTTGACTCGTTCCCATTCGCCAACATCTCTTTCATTGCGCGCAAGCAATCTAACCACCTCTCCTGCAATAGCACAATGAAATTAATCTCATTAGCAAAAATAACAAATTAATCTCATGAACAGAATTAATTAATATTAACCATCTTTCACAATTAAATGTGCTGATATGTGCACAATTTTTAAATATTGAGTTCGACGAATCTCGAACTCAAATAAAATAATATGCTCACACTTGAGAGGTTGATATGTGTATAATTTATAGTATCTTACTTGATTTATGTATTGACAGGATGAACTTTTGTCTTTAAACGAAGAAAACTTGAGTGGAATTAAGTCCTGAGTCACACAGAGAAGCGCTGAGGCTGCGATTGTCGATGGTTTATACTCCAGAAGCTTTAATTCTGGAATTGAAAATTAAAACGACATTAGTCACTATCAAGCTTATCATTTTTCTTTTTTCTTTTGAAAAGTAGATAATTACCATGTTGCGAATCAAGGATGATATATGAAGCTCATTGTTTGAGAGCAACGATTAACGAAGAATCATCGATTTCGAAGAGAGAGATGAAGTAATTGAGAAATGAGAGAGGTGTGATGGATCGCATTCTCCATCCTAGAGCCTCCAGAATGATAGCCTCCATTCACTGAGTTGAATGTGGATCGAATTCAAAACCCCTTTGCCTCTGTTTCAATGGAAATTATGCATTAATTTTGGCATTCTTAACTTACGCAATATTCTAATCATATGATATATAGTGTACCTGTAAATCGGAGATTGAATTTGCTATATTGCAGTTGCTCATCTTCGAAGCGAGTGATAGGGTTGCAACTACCAGAATGCGAGCAATCCACGGCTTTTTTTCCTGGATTAGTATCAAGTTTAATACATTGCTCACTAATACAAAATCAAATAATAGTATAAATATTTACTAGAATTTCTTGTTTTGAGAGGAAGCGGTCGATGTAATTGACAGAGAGGTAGACTACAAATGGATCTAAACCATAACACAGCTGCGCCTGAAAATATATAGAAAAAACACAAATCAATTAAATTTTTACACAAAAAACTAATGAATTCTCTTTTTTTCTGGATAATGAATTTACATTAAAGATTTGCGAGACCGCATGGCTTCGAATAGAGAAACGAAGATCGGAGGATTTGAAGGAGAGAAGACAAGGCATGTGATCTGATTCATTGGCGAAGAGAGCTGAAACGTCATCGTATTGCTGGTCTTCGAAGCTCGCCAATGGATTTTCAAGAGCAAGCTCCATTTTTCCTTTTGGAGGGAGGAAGAAGGGGAATGAATATACAAGTGAAGTTGAGTGCCATTTAAGCAACGCTGAAACAGGGCTGCATTATTTCTGCGTTTTTTTAACCAAGAAAAGAAAAAGAAAAAGAAAAAGAAATAAAGAAATAAAGGGTTTTGAATGAAGATTGTGTGACACGTGTCGTCCCACAAATAAAAAAACAATGAAATTTTTTTAGGATTGTCACGTGATTCATAGTAGGCGAGGCAGGGTGGGACATTAGGCTGATTGAGTCGCCTTCTCAATGTGATTAATTACACAAAGATAATGTGACACGTGGCTGCAATAAATGTCATTACTTAGGATGTTTGTCCAGACATGCTTCGACTTGTTTTTCTCTTTCAGAGTTTGTAGTTATTGTGTTGTAATGCGACGCAGAAAATAGTTAACTATGGACTTAGAGAAGCTTACCAGTAGGAACTTCAATTGATTTGTGTATTCGTTATCAAATTTGATCCCACCAGATCTAGTCGAACTCCTTTTACATTGACTCTTCTCTTCAAAAGAAATTATCTTAATATAGTTAGATCAAATCAACTCATGATTTGCTTACTCTAATTATGTTAACTCATTCTATTCTCTCGATTTAAAGTCAATTGGATAGTCAAATTTTCTAAGCTCATTCGCGTGAGTTGTCCATTGAGTAGACTAATTTTCTAAGTGTCAATGTCTCATTTATTATCCATTGAGTAAACTAATTTTCCATGTTCTTTATTTCCTAAAATGAACTAGACATTCTATTTGTCCTTCAAGAGTGTGTCCAATGAATCCCTATTTTTGTAGAAAATGGCTTGCACACGAAAAACTAATTTCTAGTAGCTGAATGCAACCATACTTGTAGGTCGTGTGATTTTTATAAATGTATAGCAATGAGACTTAAACTCAATATTTAGGCCTCATTTAATTCCCATTTTTCTAAGAATAAAAATGAAAAATATAGTTGTTACAGGACCCACACAAGAAATAAAAAGTCAAATATGGTGACATGTTGTGATTGATAACGGTCATATTTTTCATTTTTGTGGCTAAAGAATAGGAATTAAACGGGGGCTTAATATATTTTAATATGATATGATCCATTTGTATAAAAATTAGATGATTAAATAGTCTGTATCTTTTTTATCTTTAATAGAACAATGAAATGATAAAGATCGTGACGAATGTTCTTACCATGTGACAAGAGAAAAGTAGCCAACAATATGAAACTTTACTAATTCTTCAGCTTTTTGACTGAGGACCTTCCTCATATTGCTCCTGAAGAATGTTAATGACTTTTGTATCGCGTTCTCTTCTACTTGTTCTTTCTTTCCATTTTGGCTTCACAAACATCTACTTTATTGTTCCGAAGGATTCTCTTCTTTTTATTGAGACAAGAAAAAGCCCTTTGCTCATAAGAATCCCACCATAAGTCTACAATCAATATAAGAAGACTAACAACTTTTACTTTTTTCTTCTCTCTTTTACTTTGCTTTCTTTCCGATTCCCCAATTAAGATAATTGGGACAAAAAGTTCTTATCATTTACCACTTTTTGCGTGTATCATCATTATCGGTTCAAATTTGATATTTTCACCCTTAGATCAACCTTTTGATAGATAGGGAGGATTTGCACACGGGTTGTGAGGGATAGGGACATTTTGTTCCAATTATCCTGAGTAATATAATTTATTAAAATTTTCATTTAATGCATAATGCCTTTCAAATTCTTATAAAATTAACCTATTATGAAGATTACCTAGTCTCATTATTTACACTTTATTCTTTTCAAGTTTAATTAATTTGAGATTTATTACAGTTTAACAATACGCTTGTGATCAAAATATACCTCATTATCATTGTCCCCCTTACATGTTGACTTCATTCGTCAATATTTCTTTCATTCAAAAGATCCCATACTCCATCAATGTCTATATCATCACATGAACAAGGAAGTGGAGAAAAGAAACCAAAGAAAGAGAAGCACCTAAAACTGACTTTAACACGTAATCACTGTTCTCGAACTAAATTTGCATTCTCTAAGATTGTTTTTTATGCTTAAAATGGCTCAAGTCAAATGGTTTGTAGGATTTAACAACCCTTAGAAGAAGAAAGAAAATAAGCATTTGTGTTTTCTCCTTAAAACTTTAAGAACACTCAAAAACATGAATATGTAAAGAGACCTTTGAAAAACTTTCTCTATGAATGGAATGATTTCAATTGTTGGTGGTGTAATAATTGTGTAGAGGGATGGAATATATCTCATATATATAGATTTTCAATCATACAGCACGAAAAGACCTCAAAGGTTCGTGTAAACATACATTTATTCATTAAGTTGTGGTAAAAAATCGAATCGAAAATTTCAAATCTAATGGTCGAAACAAAATCGAGTGATCGCTCCGGCCAAGGCTTTGGCCTCGAGTTATTGAAAGTGAGCACTCGTCCAACACTAAGCCTGAGAACTCGTCTAGGCCAAAATTTCAACTCCAGTTTTTCTTCTCATTTTGTTTTCGATATTTTCGTACTTACTTTACACACCCATATGGATGAATTATCATTCCAATACACTCATTATTATAAATTGAACAACAAATTACAACAACGGGTGTTCCCACGACGATTTCACCATTTTTGAGAGTTCACGGTCACAAATTTCATTTGGATTTTTTGCAAAGGGAATTCAACTTATGCTTCGTGTGGCTATATTTGGAGCATGACTCTACACCATTTGTAGAGATCTAGAGTACAGTCTTAAGTAAACTTATTAATAAAATAATTTAAAACTTGAGTAAGAGTCGAACACAAGGAGAATATGACCCTTCCGTCTGAAGAAGTAAAATTCAGGGAAAAAGGAGGGGCGGGTATATTAGAGTTTGTGAATGAGTGTTGTATAGTGATCCTTTATCAAGAAATAGTAAAGGGCAGGCTTGAAATGACAATAAGTGGAGTAAGAAGAAACATTTGCAATGATAATATAAGTGTATGCAGATAGCAGCATCATTATTATTTCTGAGTGAAAGACAATACAATATAGTGGGCCTATTCTATTTGCAGGACACATACTGTAAACAAATACATCCCATTCTTGGTTTGTGGGCATGTAGGGTGAGAGACTCACCTACTACGAAGTAGAGATTTGAACAAGTCGAGTCGAGATGGTTCGCGAGTCGAAACTTAGGGCTCGAACTTCACTTGAGTAAAAATGATTTCAAGCCTTTTTTATTCGAGCTGAACTAAGCTTTTACTCGATCAAAAAATTTAGGGTCGCCCTGAACTTTTGGCTCGAACCTTATTGGGCTGAGCAAACTCTTTTTTCATAATAAGACACAGGCATCAGCTGATGCCTGGAAGAAGGTCTTCAATTTATTTATTTATTTATTTTAATTCACAGGCTAAAAACTCAAGCTGGCTCCTCAAAATGGGGCTCTGACTTGGAGCCGAGCCACAGGTAACCCTAGCCGACGAGCCGAATTAACACCCTATACTACACTTATACAATAGAATAATATTAAGCTCCTATTTGGTTCAACTTAAAAAAGCATATTAAAATATAATTTAAAGTCGATATTAATTTATTATGACCATATATTTTATGATATCTATAACTTTTTAAACATATGTTACATAAATTTTGAAAAGAACCGATGGAATGTGAGGCTGAAAAATTGATAAAAATTGTGAATTTCATGAAATGTGTAACTAAAGTTGAATTTGAAGAAAAATAAATTATACAAATTGTGGACCAAATATGGACTATTAAATACATCTAGTTCATACATAACTCTTTGCATGTTTAGTATGTTATAGTAATTTTTATTTGAACTCGAAATTGACAAATTTAATGCATTTTTTAAATTTTTAATTATGTTGAGTTCTATTCAATTTACCTTATTAAACGAAAGATGGTATACATTATACACCACCACCAAAAACTGGGCACCACCACAACAATGCTTCAACCATCACGCACTTATTTTCATCAACAAAATCACTGAAATTCAGCATTGAAAGGAGCATATTTTGACTTTGAGGAGACATCAATTTCAACTTCTTTGAGGAAACTCAAGTCTTCCTTGTCATTGGCGGCGGTGGCAGCTGTGGTGGTGGTGGAGGTGGAGAAGGTGGGTGGAGAGAGGAGAGAAGCAAGAGTGAGGTGGAGAATGAATCGGTTCAACATTTTCTGGAGTAGTGAGTTTGACTTGAATCGGAGTTTGTGGTGGTTTTATGAGATGGATATGGTGGAAGCAGCTGGTATGGTGATTGTGGTGGGTACGATTACATATTTTAATTTTCGAGATTTGAGTGGTGAGTTTGGCTTGGATCAAAGTGTGGAGTGGTTTTTGGACTTGATATGGTAGAAGTGTGGTGATGTTGATGGTAATAGTGATGGTAACGAGATGGTTGTCAGTTTGAATATGGATTGTAATTTTCAAAATTGTGATTTCTTGTGGTCGTTTGTTAGTTTGGAGGGATTTTTTGTACAACTTTGCTATGCCAACAGAAAGCGTTTGACACTCTTTCTGATATTACACACAGAATAGGGGGAAGGAAAGCATTTTTTATTGACGTAGGTCCCATGCGCCATGTGAGTGTTGATCAGGGTTCTACTAACCCTTTTTTGTCAACTCAGCTTAATTATTTTTTATAGGAGGTGAAAGCGGGAATACAAATGCAATGATTTGAAAAGGTGGTGGTGATGACTAAGATGTGGTGGTGGCCGGTGGGAAATGATAGTGAATGGTTTCTGTAAAATAGTATAGTGTGTCAAAAACAATCACTGTAACTTATTAAATGTAGAAAATTACATGTAAAAAAATTTTACAAAACAATAAGATATATAAAATTACATAAATTGTAATAAAAAAAATATCAGATTTGAAGCCACGCTTGTTTTTTCAAATATTTTCTAGTTCACCTGATCTTATTACTTTCCTAAACCTAAGCTAGATTCAATTGGTGAATCTTATGTGGTGAACCCAATTTCAG